AAGTCCTGAATGATATGTTTAAAGTTCGACCTGTCAGGAAGAAGACATTTTTTGGAGATGGAGAGTACTTTGAATAACTCTCTAATCCAAAGCAGCCGCAAGAAGACTCTGTTGAAGAATAGAAACAGTGAACAGATATTAGTATCTCTGCCGATGAAACCGCCGGAGAAGCGGTGATGGAAAGTTAAGTTGAATAAATAATCAAGATATGATGGACCGGATAGTGTCACAGGAAGTAAATCAGCATGCCACAAAACTGATTGTTTACTGCGTATGTCCGAACTGCAACGGGCATATAGCAAACAACTGCTGTGACGCAAATTCCTTTTTTGTACCTGGGCTTGAACGTCGACGCAATGCTTCGGCCAAATATAGCATGTCGATGCGGATGAGGTCCTTTCAGATTTCGACTGACTGCCGGTGCAGCATTATCTCTGTGACCAGCAACTTCTGCCTGAATTTCCTGTGCAAGAGAAGCAATAATTTCCATGGGTCACAACGCCAGCTGCATGATTTGGGAGTCTTTCTAGTACTGTAGCTATCCGTATTCTCGTCCGACAGTTTATTTCTAACCGTTGTAGTTATCAGGTCCTGTTTAACATTCACTCATTTCACCTAGCAATCGTATAGGAATGAAACACATATTTTCCATTTTGCAGAGACACCCATTCATAGCCATTGAGAATGTCAAATCAGTTTCCAGTAAATCCGTCCACATGATAAATTCTGTACGATGTCTGCATTCATAAATATGTTCGATGACTGAGTGATTGCTCTGAGAGAGTTTCATGAGAGCCTCGTTAGCCGTTTGTTTCAGGGTTCATGGAAGGCATTCATCGCAACTGTAGCGTCTGGGAAGTATGCACTCCACCGGACTTCAAAATGCTAAGCATTCTTTGACGTTGGACGTTGCCCGATCCCTATGACTCAGACATGAGTTCAGAGATGGAGAGCGTTTTCTACCAAATTGAATATTTGTTCTCTACCATGATTTAATTACATTATTGATAATTTAGGACAGCTGTCGCATCTGTAATATAGATATGGAAAACATATTAGAACTCAATTTTTTCCGTGTTGTAACATTTAAAATTAGAAGAAAATGTGAGCTGCTTGTTCAGTTTGAAACAAGTTAGATCGTTAGCAGTATCTATATTTTGTGGGACCTAGTGCAGTGTACGACTCATCTCCTATAGTAAATGCAGCTAAATGTTCAGCGTGGAGCGTTTTAAATTTTTTCATTATTCGCATAAAGTGTTACGTACCGTTCTGACAGAGTATTTCAGTTCAGTCTACCTTTAATTTACAGGGAAATTTACCACGTGGAATGTTAGCTGTATTATGTCCTTTCTTGCATATTACACCTAACACTTCTTTTCTCAAATATTTATTCAAAAATGGTGGAGGTCGTAGACATATGGTCAAAGGAAAAATTTAATGATTAGCCCAATCTGCAATTAACAAAGTTTACGAAGGCTGAAGAAGATGGTGTTCAGGGATTTGTTTCAGAAAGGTTTTCTTCAGAAAATATTGTTGCAGCATATCGATTTCTTTTTTCAGTTCTGCAGTAGTATTGTAATAGCTTGTTTCTCTTCTGCTCATATTACTAACAATGTCCACAGAGGACAGGAACATATTCAGTCTCCTGGAGGTGCGCTATGCCATTGCTATTGTTAATTGATTTTGTTAGGTTAATTTTCCGTTGCATAGATCGGTTGTTCTAGGTAGATATTACTTTTACCTCTTCATACCTCTGTCGATGACATCAACGGGCTAATTTGAGTGTTACACAGTTGATTTTAAACCTTCTTTATAGGCAACGTCGTTTAGCTTTTCGAATCTTCTCTGGAGTTTCTCAAGAGACATTTTGAGAGTGAAGATACTGCTCGCAAAGCACCAATGGTTTAAGTAGTGTATATTGAGTTAAGCTGATTTAGTTTAAGTATTGATTTTCCTCATAGAGTGCCTTTAAACCCTCTTCTACTGCTGCTGTGAATAAGTTCGAGGTTACTGCATTAACTTCCTGTCAGAAGCTTCTTTCGACCTTGAATTTGTCTATTTTAGATTATCCCTATTTGACAAATGGCCCATTTCATACAGTGTAGTGCTTATTGAATTACTGATACTTTGTTGTAACTGATTTGCCACGTCATTCATTTAACGTCTTCTTGCTGAAGACAGATTATTGTAGACATTCGCTATTCCTTCGCTTAACGTTGCAGGAATACGGCAGATTTGGATCTTTACTGTTTTTCAAAAACAGACGTTGACCAGCAAGTTCGCCTTGAAGTAATTTAATCAATTGTCTTAAGTTTCATTCAGCTAATACCGGTGGTTCCAAGCGATTCGTGGCATTCAATTGCAACGCCGTACTTTCGGATGGAGTTCAGTGGATTATGTGTATTATGAATTTGTCCATTTGCTTATCAAACACTATAATCCGGTGCTTATAACAGCTCAGATGAGGTATTTAATAAATCTGTTTGATTTAGCTTGAGATGCTGTGACTTTTGCGCATTTTGACGAATTCTGATGACCAAGCTTTAGTCGTTCGTCAA